TGTGTAACTATATCGACAATGTTTAGCAAATATAAAATATAATCCACTTCTTCACGAAACCACGAGAATAGTTTGTACTTATGACCCTGATAAATTCGTCGAACACCACAACTATTACTAAATTCGTCGAACACATGGCTTAAGAAATACAGTTTGTTTTAATGAAAATCAAGTTCTGCATATTTATTTTGATTTGTTCTTTATTTCAATATTACCGAATATCATCATGGAAAAAATGCACTAACTAATTAAGGTTACAATTGCAGTTACTAGTCCATAGCAGCGGCATAACCAAACATAAACAAATAATCGTGCATACAATATTAACAATTTTCTAGCTAACACGGTCGGCCATTTGACTTTCCTCGCTATCATTATATAAAGGTATAATATTCTTTCTTACTGTTTCTTGATAATTCATTCATTAAAACTATTTCTCGTTTATAAATTAATTAAAAATGAAAGTTCTTCGCTCACTTGATATTCTTGAAGGCATTTTCTTAAAACTACAATTATCAAAATTTTATGGATGTAACATTCATTTTACCGTAAGATATTATTGGGATGAATTGGATCATTTACAGCAACCATTCTCCTACATTAATATCTCCCAGATTCTTTTTCCGGCTCTTGAAAAAGTCATCTCTAACACACCTCAATTATGCATTTCAATTAAAGATGCAAAGACGCCAAATCCACAATTTGTCCTTTTACCAGAAATAGATTTTTCAAGTGTCGTTAAATTTGTTACAATAAATTCTGATAAAGAGTTTATTAATATATCTGAAAAAGAACTTTGTACAGAATTTGATTTAGATGATGAAACAAAACCGTTTTGGCGTATTGTTGTCGGAACAAACGATTCCACTACATTCGAAAATTCAGAAATTAAACCAAATTTCAATTTATGTATAATGTTTACATGCAATCATGTTATTGGCGATGGATTAAGTGCAATGGCATTTCAAGCTACTCTAATGGAAGCAATTGACGAAGTTTTCTTACAGAGAGAGACATGCGGTGGCTCTATCTCAAAATCCAAACTTCATATTGATCAATCAACTATTATTGCGAATCCATTAAGCTTTAAAAGTTATGAAAGTATTTATCAACCTGAAAATAATCCAGTAAAAATTGCATCTCCTGTCATAACTGGATCTGCAGCAACAAATTTTTGGATGGGTGACGTACGTCCATGTGATCTCCCTCAAGATATTACTAAAGTTCATTACTTTTCTTTAACTGAGGATGAATTCACACCTATACTTGCATTAGCAAAAATTCACAAGACTACCATTTTCGCCGTTTTAAATATGTTGGCATTTTTTTCTATTCGTGAAGTTGTTGGTCATGCACTTGACTCACAAATTTTAAAAGTTCGTGTACCATTTTCATTAAGAAGAAGTGTAACACCACAAGTTCCATGGAAAGAATTTGGAAATTTTGTTACTGTGATGTTATATGATTTTGATATGGTTAAAATTTCTTCTATTCAATTATCAGATAATGATTTCAAAGAAAAATTTTGGGATTTATGTCAAAGTTATACATTAGCTGTCCGTTCTGAACCTTCAACTTTCTTTGAACGTCCAATTATACCAGCTAAACCTGTTCAAAATAATGAAAATCATGATAAAAATAATGCTAGTAATGAAAATAAAAATGATAATCTTCAAGACACTATTGAAAATTGCATGGGAGAAAATAATATCGATGAAAATAGAGTAAATGAAAATGGTGTTGATGAAAAAAATACTGATGAAAATGGTGCTGATGAAAAAAGTATTGATGAAAATGGTGCTAATGAAAATCATGTAGATGAAAATGGGGCAAATGAAAATTGTGTAGATGAAAAAGGTGTTGATGAGAATAGTGTAAACAAAAATGGTGTAGAAAAAAATGGTGTATATGAAAATGGTGTAGAAAAAAATGGTGTAAATGAAAATGGTGTAGAAAAAAATGGTGTAAATGAAAATGGTGTAGAAAAAATTGGTGTAAATGAAAATGGTGTAAACGAAAATGATGTTGATGAGAATAATGCATATGAAAATAGATTGAAAGAAACCGGTGTAGATAAAAAAGGCATAAATGAAAATGGTATGAGCGAGAACGATGTAGATAAAAATGGTGCACACAAAAATGACGTAAACGAGAACAGTATAGATGAGAATAACGTAGATGAAAATGGTGCAAATGAGAACAATGCAGACAAAAATGATGAAAATGGAGTAGATAAAAATGATGAGAATAAAAATGTGGAAAATCAAAATAAGACAAATGAAAATGTTACAAAACAACCATCTACTCCTCCATTACCCGATAAAAGATTTAGTTCATTAAACATGTCTAATTTAGGAAGATTCCCCGTAAACTCATCCAATAGAAAACGATCAGATTTAAAAGTTGTCAGTTTAAATTATTCTGGTTCGGCACCTAGATTCGATGCTGTATTCAGAATAAATTCCATTTCTTATGATAATGTATTACATATTTGCATTTTGCATCAAGATGGTTCTATCCGTGATGAACAAATGGATAAATTTATTAGTGAGTTCTTAAAAATATCAAGGATGATAGTCAAAGAAATTTAGATTAAATTTTTTTTTTAATCTACATTATATTTATTATTAAATTTTATTTACAGCATTATTTCAATGCTATAGAGTTAATTTGTATGTGTTAATTATTACTTTTTATCGCTATACTGTTTTACATAAATTATTGTCAGTTGTCTTTTTAATTATCATTTATTAAATAAATCTTACTTTTAATCGCAATGATTGTATCTTTTTGTGAAATATCATGTATTCTGACAATTTATTTTACCGTTTTTATAATTTTTGCTAAAGATTATCCAATGAAATAACTTATTCTTATTATTTTATATATATTCCTGGAAGCTCAGAAAACGAAGATATGATCCGGATTGAAAGAGATGTCGAACGCGTGATAATGTTCCGGGATATCCTAAATTTCTCAATAATTTTTTACAGTCACTCGTACTGCATTTATTGATTTAGGAAGTTTATAAAAATCTAACAGTCGACTTGTATAAATGACTTGTTTGTGCGTTTGATAATTTAGTTGCACTGAATTGATCTGATAATTAATCGATAAATCTTTTGATAAATTTTCAATTTCTTTAACTGGTTTATTCATTTCTTTTAACTGGTTTATTCAGTTTCTTCATCATTCATATCGCCTATATACTGTCCTAACATATTTAACAGTTCTCGAGCAGCAGGTCATTGTGAGGATCAACATCTAAGCATTCCTTCATTAAATCTAAAAGTAGTTGAGGAACTTTGCAGGTCTATAACCTAGACAAATAGATTCCGCTAGATTATATGATATGAAAGTCTTCTGACATGATTATTCCAAAAGAATAAATATCTGATTGCTGAGTACATTCCTTTTTATACAACACCTCTGCCGTAAACATCTTTAGAACTTGAGTCTTTTGACACTGTAATATAATTAACTATATTTTCACTAACTATATTTTCGGAATATAAATCTTTATACATTAAGCGGCCTTTATGAATTTATCAAGTCTTCAAGTTATCTTATTCTAAGAGTCATATTTTATTGGACCAACTTAATTTATTGTATTTACAATCTAATAATGTTCTGAGATTTCTTTGCATTTACATACTGCATAACTATCATATAATTATTGTCTTTTGGGCTTTTAGTTATTTCATAAATTGCAATTGACTTGCTATAACGCTCGGTTTGATTTTTAACTTAAAAACACAGGAGATTACTTCGATGTGCAACTGTAGATCAGTTATGTAAAAAATAATTTAATTCTTTTAAGAATTGGGATATTCGTATTTTTGCACGTACGTACGTGCGTATTTGCATATTTCAAAATGCTGTAGCGACTTATGGTCTTAATTATGACAAACTAATATAATATCATTTTAGCTTTCAAAATTTTTGAACTGCTCCAATAGAAATTTATATATTTGTTTTTTAAACATTCACAATTTTAATTTTTGATTCGGATATTTTACTGGGCAGATGGGTTCATCAAAGGTTGTGCGAAAGACTAAGCTACTAAACATTTATGCTTATATGAACTACGCGAATGTGAACAGGGTAGAACTTGATCGATAATCATTGGATGCGGGTACTGTGACAACTAGTAGGGGGAGAGACTTTGTTATATCACTACCAATTTAACTCAGGGTCATACAACATTAAAAAGAGGAAAACCAGTATTTATTATCTCTTTCCAGGTACCAAAAGTACTAAACCAATATCTTTTATTGTTTCCCAGACACTAAAGTAACCAATATCTTTATCCAACTAATCAACTTAGTACGTTCCCAACACACTAAAATCCAACTCAACTACCAAAAAGACTTACTAAAAAACTGACTAAAAGACTAAAGAACTAAAATACATAACGTTCTATATGTTTCTATTAATAGACTCTAAATAAGCTATATACTACTTAAAGTCTAATTAAGGTATGCTTTATACTTCGCATAAACTATTAAATTGTTACACGCAAAAGTATATAAAAGTATAATGGTTACACGAACAAAGTTTAATTATGAAACTTGGTTGCGTAACAGTACCCTTATGTCAATAAATCCTGGACTGAACAAAAACTTAAATAACACAAAAATTACTAATGACAACTAACATCCTACCACTAAAAGTTTTTAGCATGAAATTTTAGCCATAAAAGACGGCGCAATTTTTAATGCTAAATATATGGTAATTTTCACCTATATTTTTAGTTCGAAAGCTCATTTACAAAATTACAATTGATATTCATAATTACGGTTGATATTATTACATTGATTAGAATTATACCGAAAATTTGATCTCAGAAACTACATACAGTAGCACGAACCTAGCATAACCACCACGATCAGTTACGTACGGAGTTGAAATTAATTACTTACCGAAATTTTAATGATGCAATTTATCTGTCATAGTTAACGACATCTGCTTATATTGTAACTTAATAACAAGTATCGTTTAAAAAATATTTTTCTTAGTAAATATTTCATAAAAACCTAATTAATGGAATCCGATTATTCAACCCAATTGAATTCAAAAAAATGTTCATCCTGCCGAACAATAAAACGAATTAATGAATTTGAAACCAATAAAGAAACGTGTATCGAATGCTTAACCCGTATAAATAAAGGCAAAAAACGGAAACGTCAAGAGCAGAATATGAATAATATTCTTGAAATGCAAGAAAGTGCTATAGAACCTGAAGATATCGAAGATGTAGTTTATAAAAGACTTATGGATAATATAGAAGATGAGAATGCACGAATGGATCTTAATATAATTATAAATCTTTCAAATCGAATCAATAAATTAGAAAATATTGATGAATCACATGCAAATTTAATAACAAACGAGATTGTAAGCTTCTGTGAGAAAGGTGACGGATACTCTTATGTTTACCATAAGAAGCATTATATTAAGCAAACAAAAAGTACAACGTTCACCTATTGGTGCAATTGCCGTCAAGAGCTTGAAAAAAAATCAAAAAAAGTTTTAGATAATTCAAAG